ACGCAAATCTTTTTTTAACACTGTGTGGCAGGTACCGACTGATACTCCCACCATTTGTGATAAAACACGTACAGAAGTTCTTGGCGCATTTTCCATTATTTGTTGGACATTTTCTTTTAATTCTTCAGTCCGCTTTTTAGGTCGGCCGCTTCCTTCTTTTCTTGTTACACTGCCCGTTTCACGAAAAACATTAACACAACGCTGAACTGCACTTTGAAAAATTTTGTACTCAACAACGCCGGGAAATTGATTTTGAAATTCTATGAAACATTCCTCAATAGAATACTTCCATATTCCATCAATCTTGCGTCCATTTCTAAAGTAGGACTCTATGATAAACACTTTTTGTTCTTGAGAAAACACCATTTTAAACGCTTTTTAAAACGAAAATATTCAAATTGATAGCGGCGATATAGCGCTTTGACAGATGACGTTTAAGTTCATTTGCTATACGCTACGCCCTACGTCCAAATTTTCAGAACCAACTTGACCACGTTTTTATTTGAACGCTCGTTATATATAGGGTGTCCCAAATAAAATTTTCCACCTAAAACATTTCGTTTAATATGAAGTTTGAAAAAATTCCAAAAACACGTCGATTTTTAATTTGAGGGGGACATAAACTTACATCATTACTTATTTTGCAGTTGCCACCCCTTCATAGATCGAGGTATCGATTGAATTTCAATGAAATTTCAAATGGCACTACAGAGCGTGTGATACATCGTTTGAAAGCTCTTTTGATACTGACTTTAAATCCGTAAAGAAATTAAAAAATCGTTATTCGTTTTCAAGAAAAAAACATTGAAATCAAATTTTTTGGAATTTTGTATTTTTACATTGAAAATTGTTTTATTTTAATTTATAGCATGTGAACCACTGAAAAGATTTTTATACATCAAAAAATTAATTATTAAACTGCAAAAAGGTTTCTACTTCAGATAATAAAAACAACAATAAACGAAACGTAAAGAAGGTTGATGTTCTTATCATAATTTTTTATGAATTCCATTACATTCCGTTGCATTTTACCGTTTTGTTTGATATCAGTTTATCGGAAATGTGGAACCATTTTCAATTGTATCAAATCTCATATTCGACTTAAAGTCAAAGTGTAACAAAAACATTGTAAAAACAAAATGAATGTGCTAGGGAAACTGCTCGAATTTTCAATGAGTTGCATTTTGATCACCAAACAAGTTATTATGTACGTGAGCCAGATTATTAAGAAATTTCGAGAAACTGGATCTTAAGAAAATCAATCCTCTAACGAATTAATGGAAGTAGGACTTCTGGCCGAACTGACACTGAATCCACACCAATCCGTGCGATCGTTAGAGCATACTATAGGGATTCCTAAGTCGAACGTTCATCGGATTTTGCAAAAATATAAGTGGCATCCGTACAAAATATATCTTGTGCATTGTTTGAACGAGGATAATCCGGATCGAAGAACAGAATTTTGTGGTATCATATCTAACAGAATTACAGAAAATCAAAATATACTTTACAATATTTGCTTCAGTGATGAGTGTACATTTTTTCTCAATGGTACAGTTAATAGGCATAATATTCGATATAGGTTCGAGTGAAAACCCTCATTCCGTTAGGGAATCGCACACTCAGTATCCATAAAACACATAGTTGGTCCATTTTTTTAAATGGCACTTTGACAGCAGCCAGCTATTTACGTTTGTTCATATCATATTGATCCCATAACTACAGAAATTCTGGAGAATGCTGATCAGCTGGATGAAAACCTAGTGATGCTCCAACAAGACGGAGCTCCACTCCATTTTGAACGACGAGTTCCGGCTTATTTGGATCAGAATTTTCCAGGACGATGGATAGGTAGGCGTGGGGCTATAGATTGGCCAGCTTGGTCTCCCGATTTGAGTCCAAACGTATTTTTGTTCTGGGTACATCTCAAATCATTGGTTTTTGCAAGTGAACCCGAAAATCTTGAAGATTTAAGACAACCTATTGTAAACGAATGTCGGAATTTAACTCCAGAGGTTTTTGCAAATGTAAGGAGATGTTTCGTAAACAGGCTCCATATTTGCCAAGGTGCACAATTTGAGCATCTATTATAAACAATTTTAAACGTAAAAATACAAAATTCTAAAAATTTAATTTCAATGTTTTTTTTCTTGACGACACATAATGATTTTTTTTATTTTTTTACGTGTCTAAGTCAGTATCAAAAGAGCTTTCAAAAATAAAAATCGACGTGTTTTTGAAAATTTTTTAAAACTTCATATTAAACAAAATGTTCAGGTGGAAAGTTTTATATGGAACACCCTGTATATAAAGATGTTCACGTTTCGAAAATCAATCTATTTTCGTCATCTGAACTAACGAATTTAAAAAGAAATGTTTTTAATTATTTTTGAAACAGTTACATTTATTTTGTTAGAACTCCTGAGGCGTTCACTTTTCACACAAAATTAAATGAATATTTACTTTTGTCGACAGAAGCCGATAAGTGATGGAGGTTTCTGGCACATCCTGGCCAATCTAGTCAACAAACATGGATTAATGCCGAAGAAAAATTTTTCAGAATATTACAACAGTTCCTACACATCTAAGATGAACGACGTTCTTGGAAGCATGGTAAGAAATAACTTTTAGTTTCCTGCGTTTGTGAAAAATTAGAAATTAATTGAAACTCTTACACCAAAAGTTTCAATCAAGGGTCGTTTTGCCTGCCGAAAAATTTCAATTTTTTCCCTACCCTGTGGATCGGTCCTGCACAACATTTAGTTTTGTCCCTTACTATGTTTTTATTAGTTAAACGTATTTGTTTATTATCCAATGTCAACTTTGTTCCACAGGGCTCCACACTAGGCCCTCTTTTATTCATAAGTTTGGTTATTGACTTTATGGTTGACTTGGATATGCAGTATTTTGCTATTCTGTATTGTACAAGGAAATCTGAATTTGTATATAAACTAAATGGATGTGAACTGAAAATGTTAAATGTATTCTTTGCCTTCAAAAATCTATGTTCCGTCAATAGAAATTAGGGGGGTTTCAGAGAACAACATGTTTTTTATTCTTCTTCTAGGTCGAATATACTATTTTGGTATCCAGAAGATCACAGCTAAAATTAATGCAATGAAATCATGCAGAAAAGGTCTTATAAGTTAGATCCAAACGATTTCAAAAGACTTACTTATATTAGTAGCTTATCGCAAGCTACAAACTTTATTATTTCTATATAAAATTATGAACAATAAATATGATTATTTAGAGATTATGTCACATCGAATATCCAGGTATCTAGAACCAAGATATATGAAGTGTAATTCATCCTCGGGTAACCAGTACCAACTTGGTTTGGATCTCCAATTTTTGTTACTATCATAACTTGCAGAATTGCATTAGGATATGTTGTGTTCCATTAAAAAAAAACAAAAGTTTGGGTTACATCATCTAAATGTAACAGGCAGTTTTTTTTTATATATTACCCTTTTCATATGTGGATTTTTTTATATATCTTACCCCTTTTCATATGTGGAATCATTCATCTTACAGTTGCGGCAATATGCCAAGGCCATCCGCGACCTAGTAGCCAAAGGTGGCTGCGACGAAGACATCGACAACCTCATCCAAGATCAGATGTCCAACATCTATAGGGTAGTGGGGATATGCCTTGGTATACCCAGTGAGACTTTCACGTGGAGCTACTACGACAAAGACAAGGCATTCAAGAGCATCGGACCTGTAACACCCAAGGAGTTCTACGAGAAACACGTGAAGCCCTTCTTCAATGTCGATGATAAGGTAACTGTCCGTTTTTACTTAAAATGGTATAACTATGTTGTGGCTATGTTTCTATTTAATTTAATTAGTGATTAAAGCGGTTTTAAAAGTGATAAATCGCTCTTCCGGAGTAATCTCTAAAGGACCGTAGCACCCATATGATGTGTGTGTTTTTGACTTGAACGGTTCAAATTCGGTTCGACTGGAGTAGGTATTTTGCTATCACTCTTACGCGTTATCTGGCTCCGGTCTCCAAGACTTCCAACTTTTACCAAACCAAATCTGTCTGGACTTGCGTATCTAGCGTAGTTAATGTATATTTACGCCTAGCTGTAAAAAAATATTTGTGTAGAAAGTAATTCTGTCTTCTCCAAAGGTGTGTTTGGTGTCAGACCCCAGACCTACCTTCGAATTTGGGAAACTGTTCACAATGGACTACATAAACGACGTCGTTGGAGCCAAAAACTGCATTTTTAACAACCAACCGGTGGAGTTGCTGCTGGATCTTACCGCCAAGAGCATCAAAGAAGGTGAGGCTGTGCTCTCTAGCTGCGAACTCTCGAGAAAGTACTCCTCTTGGAGGCACGGGATGCACCTCAAGACGTAAGTTTGATGATTGTAGAAAAATTAATGTTAAGTTAACCATAACTGTGAAGTGATTATAAAAGAGGACGGCCAATAAGGCCAGTTTTCGGCTCTATCAGACATTAGTCCAGTTGGTAGAGGTTCGGCCTGTGTCAAACCTTGATAACACGGAAATAACTACACAGGCCTACTTTAAATGATGAGTACATTTACAGGCTAATTTGCTGGCAAAGTATTTTATCAGGAAAAAAGTTATTAACAATTTAATCGTGAAAAAAAATTTTTCTAGTACTTTTCTTTAAATAACTCAGCGGGATGACTTTGTACGAAAAAATGCTTAGGACATGATTTTGTTCGTAACAAAAATAGCTACAAAATGGCGGTGGACCGATTACGAAATTTGCAATAACAAAGCCGTGAGATTGAAAAAACGGTATAAAACGTAAATTTTTTAAAGTTGCTGTAAAAATGGTAATTATAAACAGAAAGTGATAAAACTTTCGAAAACTATAGTTCAATATATATACAATAATGACGAAAATCAGGAGAGCAAAACTTTTTGATCTATAAGGTGTTATACATTCATCGACATCTGACACTCGAAACTTTGCCAAATTTGTTCGAAGCTTCGCTGACACTTGAATTTTGGTACACACAGTGTAAATATGCAAAAACCAAAAGCAATTTGCAAAATTCAAGTATCTTCATTTTTGCAGCTTTGGTTACGTTACCCTAGTTTTATACGTCACCGTTTTTTTAATTTTGATTCGATTCAAACCGAAGAAGAGTTACGAAATCGTATAATAGTATGCTGCTAAACCATAAGAGACACCCCAGAAATTTTTGAAAATGTACGTCAGTCTATGCGAAGAAGAGTAGATGCTTGCATACGTGTGGGTGGAGGACACTTTCAACAACTACTGTAAATACATAATAAATACATTATGACACTTTACCCAGCCTACTAATTTTTATTTCATTTGCTTTAAGGGGGCATTTAATGAGCTTACCGTTTTTTCTATCCAAACATTTAATATTATGCCTACGTGAACGTCATTTGTGAAAGTAGAAAATTAATTTTTGCCCCACAAAAAGTGTTTTCGCGCATGGTGGGTGTCTACAAAATGGCAACAAAATATCAATGAACTTGGGGAAAAAACTTTTTTTGGTTTTCATTTTTTTACGTGCAAATGGTGCGTCGTACGAGAGTAAGTCTAGGGACCGAATTTGCTGTAAAATAAATGGGGACTTTAAAAATAATTTTAGTTTTTAGAAAAAGCAGTGGCGTACCATTTTTTTCTTCAAAAATGTGTAGTTCAAACCTCGTACGGACGAGGCATTGACAAAAATTTTAAAACATTTTTTAAATCAAATAATGCTCCTTAATGATTAATAGGTGTGTACAAAATTTCATAAAAATATCTGGAGTGATAAGAAAATTATAATAAAAAAGTAAATTTTTTCTTAAAACTGTACCATGTAGCTCAAAAATTAAGAGGTTTAGGACATGTGTTGATATTAAGTTTTCTTCTTAAAATGACCTAAGGATTCACACCCTTAAGTATCGGCATTCAATTAATAAACACCCTGTATATTGAACTATAGTTTTCGAAAGTTTTATCACTTTTTGTTTATAATTGACATTTTTACAGCAACTTTAAAAAATTTATTTAAATTGTTAATAACTTTTTTCCTGATAAAATACTTTGTCAGCAAATTAGCCTGTTATTGTACTCAGCATTTAAAGTATTCCTGTGTAGTTATTTCCGAGTTATCAAGGAAATGTTACCAACAGTAACTTTTCGGCCTCTGTCGACTGGACTACATATGGAATATGTTTTCTGAATCTAAAGCAACAATGTTAAATCGATTCTAGGCAAGACGGATTAAACCTCTCCACCCAAAACACTCAAAAACTCTTAATAACGTGATAAAACCATTTTACATCTGATGCACTGAATCATATAAATAACATTTTTAGTGTACAAATTAAGTAAAATATAATATAATTATACTAATATACTAAAAAAAAAACTTTTACCTCTGCCCCTCCACCCTTGACCCCCTTCTATGTAACCCCTGAAAGATACTGAAGAATATTAAAGATATTTTACAAAAACATTTATGTGTCAGTCTAATATAAACAATATTGAAATGTTTCTAGTTTAAAGATAGGTCAATCCACCTCCTTCCATTTGAGCGCCCATCCGGTATATCTTTTTCTTCCTTGTACCTCCATCTTGTTTCTCTAACTTTTATAAACAGACATAAAAATAGGGTTTAAGTATAATATTACAGTTCATTTCCAATATTTTTTGTTATAGTTTAATGTGAATCTCCTTGCCTGTCTTTAATTGGGGTGCTGGCTTTACATGATGTAGAATTTCTTTTATATTCAATTCTTTATTTAAGTATCTTTTAGAGATTATGCACTTGAGTGGGAGGGGGAGCAGAGGGGGAAAAGAGTAAGAATTTACTTTTTTACTTTTATGATTATAAACAAGTGTTTTTACTTGCCCGAAAAATATTATTTATATGATTCTGTACATCAGATGTAAGGAAAATGGTTTTATTACACTTTTAAGCATTTTTCAATGTTTGGGTTGGAGGGTTGTATCCGTTTTGTCTAGAATCGATTTAATANGGCATGTTTAGGATAGTTAGTTTTAGATTAGTTTAGTTAGTAGGAAAATAGTTATAACTTGTAACAATATTATTTTAATCCTTTTTCGTTTGCTATAACTCTAATTGGCGCGGTTAAACCACCCAAACGAATTAATTTGTCGCAACTGCGCAAAACGAAGATCGAAAAAGGTAGATGTCGACTAGAACGTGTCGTAGTACCAGGCCTGGTGGTGTTGTGTTTTATTGTTGTTATCGTTGATTGAAAACCTATAGTTATTTTTGAAGAGAAATCGTTGTTGACCCCCAAATTGCAGAAGATTGAAACCAGTGGTAAGTTGTGGCAACATTCTCGTTTGTTTGGGTGTTCGCCTAAGACTTGTCCGGAAATACAGTCTTTATCAATTCGCGCAGATAATTCTTTTAATTTTGAATTATATATACAGTCCTAAAAAAAAACTTTTATCTCTGCCCCTTCCACCCTTTCCCTCTTCTACGTAACCCCTGAAAGATACTGAAGAATATTAGAGAGGTTTCACAAAAACATTTATCTGTCAGTTTAATATAAATAATATTGAAATGTTTCTAGTTTAATAATAGGTCAAATCACCTCCTTCCATTCGAGCGTTCATCCCGTATATTTTTTTCTTCCTTGTACCTCCATCTTGTTTCTCGAACTTTTATAAACAGGCATAAAAATAGGGTTTAAGTATCATATTACAGTTCATTTCTAATATTTTTTTGTTATAGTTCGATGTGCGTCCCCTTGCCTCTCACTGATTGGGATGCTGGTTTAAAGTGAGTCCCCGTGCCTTTCACTGATTGGGGGGCTGGTTTAAAGTGAATCCCCTTGCCTCTCACTGATTGGGGCGCTGCACAGTGGTCGGAAATCCAAAAAGCTGGACAAAAGTCCAAAAAGACTTGCATCATCACCAAAAGTGGGGACTTTATATTTTTCAGGTCGCTAAAGCCGAATTTGCAGTCAAAAATCTCAAATTCAAAATGGCTAATACAGAATGGCCGATATATCACGTTAATTTATTGAATTTAATTGAAATTTCGAGTGCCTCTGGTATTGAGGTCGCGTAAAACGTATGTAAGGTCGAAGTTTGAGGTTTTTGAGGTAATTAATTATTATTAATAAAGTACGAAAGGTAAATATCTGCGATATAAGGCATGTATTTGGAATGAATTCGTCATTTCGAACGAAATAATTTCTAAATACTACTAAAGCTTATTCTTGTTATAAAGCTTATTCTAATTATTTAACTAATTCTAATACACATTAGTCATTCGCATCGTCATTATCTGTTACATAACCGTCAGAGCATGAAAATATTATCACCATAGCTTCGGTTGAAAAGCTTTTCTCATTTTCTCTTTCTCTATCTTGCACCTTTTTAAAAAAGGTTGATCTAAAATGATGATTTGCGTTTCTAAATACTCTTGGAATTATCCTTTCAAAAATAGAAAAATTTATTTTTTCATTCACGTAATTTTACTGGTGCCTGATCCTGTCGAAAATGATAAACTATGAATTCAAAGATCATAGATAATAAGTTCATCTATAATTTTCTTCACTTTATTTTCGTATTCTTCTCAGCAAACCCTTTCATTTGATACCCATATCATGGGGGTGTATAAAAAATAACTGGTCCGCCATCTTTGGAAGTCCGCCATATTGGATTTAGAATGACCTCACTTAGTTAACCAAGCATTGTCATCCAAACTAAACAAGTATGCAAAATTTCAGCTCAATCGGTTGGGGAAACTGTTTTAAAATTCAGTTACAAAATGTGACCCATACTAACAAGGCAAGTTAAATAAAAGCTTGTAAGAATATAATAAATGGCACACGAAAAAGGTGCATGTTCATAAAAAAAACAATTTGAATTAGAAACGCTCGTTTGGAACGCGAAGAGACTAAATCGCTAGGTATTGTATAACTAAGGCCTCTTACAATAGTAAATCGGCCGTACATGGAGGCACAAAAAATTACTCAGAAGCCCAATCCGGAAAAATCCGGTGGTTTTCTCTTTTGATATATGAAATTGACACTCCTGTCCGTATTTTCCAACTTTTAATAGTGCAGGATCTCTTGGGATCACAACTATTTCGATAATTTACTATTGATGTGACTTGAAATCGATGGAAATTGCAAGACGTCTTTGTTAAAACAATAAAAACATGCAACTTTCGAAAAATGAGGTTCTAAATGAGCAAATGTAATCTACTTAACTCCAGGAACACCCTCTCTATTGCACACAATGATTCGTGCTCTATTAAAAATTTGCACGTATTTTCAATTCGCCGCTTTTCGAGGGGTCAGCGGCAAGTGAAATATGCTAATGTGTCGCAGCATACTTCCGATAGTTGCTGTGGTCTATACACATGGGCCAGCTCTCTGTTACTTTAAAGAACTACGCAGTGATTCCTTCTCTGGCGTATTCTGAAGTATTAACGCAAACCAACGACTTTGAAATTTCGACTTTTGTCTAGCTTTTTCGGAATTCCGAAAACTGTGCGCTGGTTTAAAGTGAATCCCCTTGCCTCTCACTGATTGGGGTACTGATTTAAAGTGAAGTGATGGCGGCTGGGAGGTTTACTTATGGCTAAATCTAGTAGAATATTATTTTTTCTAGACTTTTAAATAAATGTTTTTGCATGATGTAGAATTTAATTTATATTCAATTCTTCACTTGAGTGTCTTTTAGAGGTTATGCAGTTGAGAGGGAGGGGGAGTTTAGGGGGGAAAGAGTAAAAGTTTACTTTTATTATAATCGACAAGTGGTACCTACATTATTTATTTTGCAAAATGCGCATTTTCCACTTGCTTAGTTATTGACAATTTAAAAAGATTTTTTTTAAACAGACTAATCGAACATATTTTTCGGTTTTTATTCCAGGTATGACTTTAAGTTGCTTCTTGGTGTGGACATCGAAACCACCCTATCCAAGGCAGACAGGTTTTTATACAGAGAACGCAGCATGGCACATACTATGATCTTCACCGGGGTCAAAACAAATGTAAGATCAAATCGGATAAGTATAATAGGGTATTAAGGATGTTACAAGGAAATTATTTGGGACATTTCTCTTGCAAACTTTTTTTTGTTTGATTTTTCAATTGCTACACAAACAAGTGTCATATGGTTTTAATCAAACTAGTATATCCTGTAGTATATTGAGGCGCTGAATCCGAATCCACTATCAGAATTTCGCTAACAAGTCGCATTTTTTTCTAACCTCAAAAAATAGGTCAAAAATTGCAAAAATAAACAGGAAGCATGAGAAAAAACAACAACAAGATATTTTTCACATTTCTTAACATAGCTAGATGGAATTGGACCCGCTGAATCCAAATCCATCTTTAGAAATCATGCAACACACCTCATTTTTCTCTAACCTCAAAACTATCGGCAAGAAATGGAGGTTTGCAAGAAATGAATACCTGCAGAATCATGAAAAATTTGGTATGTTTGGTTTCAGATTAATGCTATATTTGATCCGTGGGGAGTTTTTAGATCCATTCGATGTAAGGTCCATCTATTCCTGTTTCAAAAGAAGCTATCAATCTGAAGATGCATACATTCATCCACAAAATCAACCATATTGGATCCTGGTCCGCCATATTGGATCCGCCATGTTGAATTTGTAATTCTGAGTTCGTAATCGTGATCAGCAGTACCCAAAACACCCCAGGATCCAATTCGGGATTAGTTAGTCAATTTTTTGAAAATTTCGTCCGCCATATTGGGTACGCCATGTTGAATTTTGCAATTCTGAATTCAAATGTGTGATCAACGAACCTAAAAACCCCACGGATCCAATATAGCATTAATCTGAGACCCCTACATACCAAATTTTTCAGAATTCTATTAATCCCTTGCAAACCTCGATCTCTAGTCGATTTTTTTGAGGTTAGAAACAAATGAGGTGTGCTGTATAATTTCTAAAGGTGGATTTGGATTCAGCGAGCACAATTACATATAGCTATGCTAAGAAATGTGAAAAATATATTTTTTTTTGTTTTTTCTCAAACTTTTTCGTCTATTTTTGCTATTTTTGACATACTTTTTATGTTAGGAAAAAATGTGAAGTGTTAGCGCAATTCTGAGAGTGGATTCGGATTCAGCGCGTCTAAATGTCATACTAGTTTTATCAAAACCAACCAGTTTTTTTTAATTCCGTTGGGTGTCTGGGCTATAGCTTCTATTTCTTTTTGTCTTAAAGACGAAAGGTTTATTATAACCCACCAGATTCGAATCTGTTATTTATTTTTGCCTTGTGACGTTCAATCTAGTCTTAATTAAACGCTCTGTGTGTCTAGGACGACGGGGAGGTAAGCAAACTTCGCGCGGAGAACTCCTGGGGAGAGGACTGCGGGGACAAAGGCTATATCACGATGACGGCAGAATTCTTCAAGGAATTCACGATAGAGCTCGTGATCGACAGGAAGTTTGTACCGAAGGAGGTGTTGGAGGTTTTCGAACAGAAACCTGCGGTCATCCCGCGGTGGTACAGCTTGGCAAGCCGATGAAACAGTGGCTATCATTTGCCACAACGAATATAGTAGTACAATGTAAACATATTTGCCATACCGCTTCACAGCATCCATTTTTCAGGTGCACAAAATTTGTAAAAGTGTATGTGCTTGTTACACATATTTGTTAAGTTGTTTTTCGAACACCCTGTATTCATAAAGTAGATAGTGTGTGTGTGCATGTGAACGATAGGAATGGCTGTTATATTATGTACAAACAAAATTGCCAAATACAATTCCATATTTTTATTTAAAAGTGTTTCTAATTATTTTTTTCCTTTATCGATTATCAACAGTGTCTCAGTTTTAATCTGTGACTCTTCGGAAGGAGATAGTATATTTATTTATTTATTTATTTATTTATACTGCATACATACAGACAAAGGGACAGTCCAATTACATGTATACAGTTGAGAAATGTAAGCTAATATAAAAAACAAGTTAAAAATAATGTATAAACAACCAAACACATGCAAAATACAATGTAAAAAGAGAACAAAGAAAGAAAACAAAAATGAACGGGTACACTCCATACTCTTTAACATATATTGACCTCAAAAGTTTCTTCTGTATTTTCTCTATCGTGTCCTTGTTACTGGTAGCTTGTGGGTTCCAAATCACACTGCAATGCTCCAGTTTTGATCTTACAAATGTATTGAATAGCCTTATAACTGTGTTAGATTTAAACTCTTGGCTAGTCCTAAGAACAAAACCGAGCTTCCTGTAACATTCAGCTGTTAAACTTGTAATATGCTCATTAAATGTAAAATTTTTGCTAAAAATTACACCTAGGTCCCTGATTTTATTTAGAGGCTCTATCTCAACACCATTCACCATATATACTCCCAATATAGGGTATTTCTTCCGTGTATATGATACCAGTTTACATTTTGCCTCATTTAAAGCTAGGTCGTTATCTTTACAAAACTCAGAAACAGCTGTGACATCACTTTGCAATTTTGCAACATCATCCCAACATGTTATGTTAAGGTACATCTTCAAGTCATCTGCATAGAGTAAGAACTTTGCATGCTTTATATAATCAGAGATGTCATTTATAAATAAGATAAAAAGCAGTGGTCCCAATATGGACCCTTGAGGCACACCGGAAGTTGACACAAAAGTTTCAGATTCTGCACTGTTAAATTTCACA